GTAGTGAAAACACAGCTTAATCCTGAAGAGCTGCAGGTACAGCTGTGTGCACTTCATATTTCCTCTTACAACCCTTCTATCTTACTGAATAGCAGGGTAGTTGTTAATTCATGCTTGTCAATCCATGCAGTTTCTCCTCTGCCGTAGTTGGTTTCTCCGTTGCTGTTCCTGACGTTCGTTTCATCTCCTGAAGCGACCATCGGCTCAGCGATTTTTCCTCCAGGAGCATCTGGTACTGTTTTAGCTACTTCGAAATGTCCTTAATATGTACTGAACATCGTCATCTGCACCCAAAATTTGCCATTCATAAATCACAAAGGAACTTCGCTGTGCATGTCACCGTAATAGTCCCATTGGCGAATGAAATTAATTTGTTTCAGCGCGCATGAATTTAGAGCAACAAGCTCACCAGTGCCTGGCAATGAACCGGAGGATCTGTTTCCCGAAGTATATGGTGAGTTTTTCGCAATGCAAGTTGCTGTTTCGCACCTTAGCGCCATCGGCAAAACTGCCATCATTTGTATTTTGTCGAAACTGCACTGGCGGGTGCCAAGCCTCCCATGTTTTGGTATTTTCGCTTCAGCGGTCCGAACAGAAATGGCTGTTATGTAGGATTCTGTCCGCAAGTTATGGTTTTTTTTGAAAATTCTCTCGATAGCGGCTGCTATCTGCACCAGAAAATGCGCAGAGAGTGAATTTTATGGACGTCCTGGACTTCGAATCGTTCAAATTTTGCCCAGCACGATGTCAAAGATATAAGTTATTGTTGACGTGTAGAGCTGTTAGTGATGATGCGATGACATGAATAAATATTGTTCTTGGAATCCCTAGGGAGGTACATTTCAGATGAAGAAAAGGAAAAGAAGCTAATCGAGGATGTGCTGGAAGATCTTGCCGCAAATTGTTCGGGCACCTTCGATATTCCTGAAGCGGATGAGCTGCATGCGAAGCGCCTATTCTGGTAGTGTTTTTTTTTGCTAGAAATTGGAACGGAAATAGTATGCCATCAGTGGCATAAAAACAGGACGAGGACGGTTACTTGCTGTTGTAGGGAATTTGAAGTTTAGTACTGGCACTTCGCCAGTACCGCTTTATAACTGCTTATAAATAAATGAGTTAAAAGTGCTTTTGAAACTAACTGTGAGCAATCAGCTTTTCCTGAAAACTTTTTGAAAAGGGTGTCTCCCCCCCGGTCAACTGTGTTTGCAGTATATTATCAATCAAGACACTTTCGAGTATCACTGCACTGTTGAAAAGTTCGGGGGTGCGCGACGAGGAGCGAATTCGAACACTTAGTTTTAAAATTCCCCAAATAAAACTTTGATTTGAGTAATGATTTTTTTTTTTGCAAATACCTGATGGTATTTCAGCAATTGCTGTTGCTGCCGTGGTGAGTGCAAGGGT